AAAAAAATTATAATAAAAAATAAACTATAAAAAAAAGAAAGAAAAAGAGAGAAGAGGATAGAGAATGATAGCAAGTGAACAATAGAGAGGATGTTAGTGAGAAACAGATATGGTTTATTATCTGTTGATGATGACATGTATAGTATTCCCAACTGGACTGGTCTGGGAAGTATTTCATGATAGGTGAAGTCTTTTAACAAGCAAAATGAGAAATAGTGATTGACTGTTTTAAAAAATTATAATAATAATATTAATTATTGGGAAATGCATGGAAAAGACATTGAATGATAAAGCGGGGAGATTGATGTCTCTGTATTGACTGACACGCATGGCATTCCCTTTTGAAAAAGCAATGGAAGTCAATGTAAAGTTATATGTAATCCAATGTAATATAAAGAAGATTATGATGATAATATAAATAAAAAAAACAGGAAATATGTCTACATCAAAAGAACACAATAACTCCCCTACATATCTTTTAAAAAACAAGTAGTTACCGAAATGTCAGAGAAAAGAATACAGAATGTTCAACTCTCAAACTTCAATGAGTTGGAACAGAAAAAAGACAATGAGGAGATGAGGAAGTCCTTCCATGATTTGAAAAACGAAATGGATGACAGTATAACAAAGAATCGGACAGAAGTATTAGAGATGAAGTCTGTAATATGGGAAATCAAAAACTCTCTTGAAAGTATTAAAAGCTGATTGGACTGATCTCTGCTCTCCTGTACCTTCTGGGTCTAGCTTCACAGCTATGAATCTCCCCCAGCTAGGGCATCTCCCCCTCCAGACCTCAATGCTAGCCAGAACAGAATCCATCCAGGCACCTCCATCTCTGCTCTCCTGTACCTTCTGGGTCCAGCATCACTGCTGTGAAGCTTCCCCAGCTAGCACCCTCCCCGCTGACCCCAGTACTAGCCAGGACAGAATCCATCCAAGAACCTCCATCTCTGTTATCCTGTAACTTCTGGGTCCACCTTCATGGCTGTGAAGTTACCCTAGCTAGCCACGCCCCCAAACACAAGAGCTAGCAAAGTAGGTAGGCAAAGTCTGTATCTCCCTCTTGTCTCTTTCCTGTCCCAACCTTTTTTTTTTAAAAGGTGCTTTTTTTGTATCCTTCCTCATGCCTTTATCTTCCTAATTTCTCTTTTTCTTTTATCCAGGACAGAATCCATCCAGGTATCTCCAGCTCTGCTCTTCTGTACTTTCGCATGGAATGCAAGCACAATCGTGACATGAGGGTTTCAGTTTTAAACCCAGATTTATTTTCTGTGATATGTTTTATTCTCTTCTTTTTGCTCTAGTTCTTTCCTTTTTTTTTCTGCCTATTTGTTCACTTTTTATTCCTGTTTTCTTTTTAATTCCTATTTCTTTGCTTTTCTTCCTATTGGTGTTTCCTAATTTTTTTTTCCTTACTATCCTTTTTTTTTCTTTTTTCTTACTAGGCACATATGCTCGCCAGATGGACAGAGAGAGACACAGAGATAGAAAGCGAGAAATCACCCCCCCCCCCCAGAGGGGGATGGCCATGCCGCAATCCCTTCTCCTCCATTCTCCTCTCAGGATCTTGGGCACACACGCACACATGCCCGGCATGAGTTTAAGCCACCGGTTCCAGGACTCGAACTGTGGTCGACTACAAGAGAGTCCAGTGACATAGCGATTACGCTAACTGCTGGTCCCCTTACTATCCTATTTTATTACTCAGTCCTTACCCACTGACTAGAGAAGACTAGGTGAATAGTAGCTAAACATCTGAATATTGTGTTTTAGAGAATTTTTCCTCCTCACTGTGTACTGGCTGTAAAAAGAGGAAAATTCTCCTTCATAAATCTAATTTCAAAGCTCTACCTGTGATTCCCACACTGGATGACACAGGAGAAGGGAGAAAATAACACCTAATTATTCCAAGTAAAGGAAACAAACGAGCTTACACTTACAGAATCCTTCTCCAACAAATTAGCCCAAAGTGAATATATTACCAATGACTAAAAATCAAAGAACGGCCACAAGGATGAGAGAATCAAGTTATACATCTCCTGCAAGGGAACACTGTAACTCATCTTGAAGTTGGGAAATGTTAGAGGATATTACAGAAATGTCAGAAAAAAATAGAATATTTATGGTAATGAAACTCTATGAGATGCAAGAGAAAAGAGACATTGAGCTCCAAGAGATAAGGAAGTCCTTTCATAATATGAAAGAAGAATTGGATACCATAAAAAAAATCAAACATAACTGTTAGATATTAAGGCTGTAATACAAAGACATCAAAACCTTCCTCAAAAGTATTAAAAGCAGGTTACACCATGCAGAAGATCAAATCTTGGAAGTTTATACAAAACCAATGACCTAGAAAAAATTATCAAAAATACTGAGAAAACAACCAAGAAAAATGAGGATAATATATAAGAAATACTAGATGCCATGAGATGCCCAACCATCCAAATAATTGGAATCCTAGAAGGTGAAGAATCTAATAAGGAAGGGACCAGCAGTTAGTGTAATGGCTATGTCACCGGATAGCCATGTAGTCGACCACAGTTCAAGTCCTGGGCCCAGTGACTTAAACTCATGCCGGGTGTGTGTGCATGCATGTCCAAGATCCTGAGAAGAGAATGGAGGAAAAGGGACTCTGGAGTGGCCATCCCCCCTGGGGGATGATTTCTTGCTTTCTGTTTCTCTGTCTCTCTCTGTCTTTCTGGCAAGCGTACATGCCCTATAGCAAAAACCTCTCAAAAAAAAAAAAAAAAAGAAACTAATAAGG